GGACTCTCTGTCTGGCCTATTATATCATGGAAGCTGGTTCCAAAAGGAAGCCTCTGGAGAGCAAATTTTCTAAGACAACCAGTTGGAATCTGCTTAGTTTTCCATGACCCAGTCTTGGTGGCCACATCGCGTCACTTCTGCTGATCTCTACTGGTCAGTGTAGTCATAAGGTTGTCCAAATTCAAGGGGAAAGAAATTTTGACTATTTTTTGATTGGTGAATGGCAAGGTCACATTGCAAAAGAGCATATGGGATGGGAGTATTGTTTTGCCTATTTTTGGGGCCATATAATCTTACTGATTGATTGAATGCAATATTTTTTCTTCTCTCTGAGGTTATTATAATTAGTTTTCTTCTCCCTGTACACAATCTGTTTCTTTGAACATTTGGGGAAATTTCTAATTTAAGCAATGTATTTAAGTGTTGGCTTGGTTGATTCTCTAGTAAATAAACTCCTGCATTGGCTTGGCTGTCGAAGTTCTGGGAGCTGATAGCTGCAAATAGGGAAGGAGACCTCAATACCTATTGTCTCTGGGTTCACTCGGTTCCCCTGTTTCCTGATTGGAAACCCTGCTTTCCATTGTGCCTGGTGTGCCCCAGCCTTCAGAGACTAAATCTTGGGTCATAGCCAATTTTCAGGGTAGAGACCCAACTGCTTTTAAAAAGCTGCCGGTCAATACTGTTTTGTTTTTGTTTCAGACACTCTCATCCCCGCTCTGGAATCTGTGCTATCTTTTGAAGATCCTGTAGCAAAAATAGAGCTGGTTCTTTCTTTCCCTGCTGTCAGTCTGGGATTCTTGGGTCTGCTTAATCAGTTACCTTTCGTCCGTCTGCTTTTCAAATATTACTTGCTGCTGCTTCTCTCACCTACCTGAGGACATTTTGTCTGTCCTCCCACTCCAGGGAGTACTCAGCTGCACCTTAGTCCTGACCAGTTGGAATTGCTCATTTTATGTTGGAACACTTCTAGAGACTGTATTGTTGCCTCATGTGTGTTCCATGCTTTTCTTCTTGTCCCCTTCCTTGACCACCTCTCCTTAGTAAGAGAATTAGAAAAGATCAGAGTTTACTTTCAGTTTTTATAGAACTTAGTATTCTTGTGCTTCTTAGTTTTAATTTCAAAAAGCCACCTATTAAGAATGGCCTTTAAGTCTTGGCTTTCCCTGTTTTTTTTTTCACATGGTAGAATTATTTTCTTCTTCCATTTCTTCTTAAGTTGTGTTTTTCTACTTAAAAATATTCATGGTGGGGTCTACATGAAAGTCTTCTCTTTCAGGAAAGGCATCAGTGTTCAAGGGAGGGACTCTCTAGGATACTTGCTAAGACAGTTGCCAAGTCCTGTGGTACATTCTAGGCAGGGAAGGCTTGGCGGTGTGTTTGGGTCACATAGCAAAATGGCAGATTATGTGTAAATGGACTAAGACTTCCAATCACAAGGCAAGGATTGGCAGAATCGATTTTTAAAAAGTGATCCAACTGTAGGATATCTACAAGAGAAATGGTTTAGATTTAGAGACACAATTAGATTGCAATAAAAGAATGCAAATAGATATGCCATGCAAAGAAATACCCAAAAAGAGCTAAAGTAACTATACTAAGAGCTGACAAAATAGACTTTAAGGCAAAAATTATTAGAGACAAAGAAAGACATTTCATAAGGAATGGCAAAAAGGAATCAGAAGACTTGAACTCCGCTATAAGCCAAGTAGGCTAATGGAACATCTGTAGAACACTCCACACAACATCAGTAAAATACACATTCTTCTCAAGAACACATAGAACATTCTCCACGATAGGCCATATCTTAGACCATTAAACAAACCTAGGAGTGTGATTGCCATGTTGAGAGGTTAGCCTCTGTTTAGCTTTGTAAGAAACTGCCACACTGCCAAAGCGATTGTACCATTTCGCATACTTGGAGCTCATTGCTCCTCTTGGATGTGCAGATTAATTCTTTAAAATCAAATTTGGGGAAGTTTGCAGCATTATTCAGGTATTTTTTTCTACCTCCCATGCTCATGTATACAGCCCTCTCCCCCACTACCTTTCCTTCTGCAAATCCTATTATACATCTGTTGATAATACTTAATGGTATCTAACATGTCTCTGGGGCTCTGTTCATTTTTCTTAATTTTCTTTTTGTTCCTTAAACTGGATACTCTCCCTTGACCTGTCCTCAATTCCACTGATTCTTTCTTTTGTCAGTTTAAACCTACTGTTGAGCCCCTCTAGACAATTTTTCAGTTCACTTTATTGTACTTTCAATTCCAGATTTCTGTTGGGTTTTTTTCTTTATCATTTTCTATCTCTTTATTGAAATTCTCAATGTGGTTAAATATGATTCTCATACTTTCAGTTCTTTAGTTCTTTGAAAATATTTATAATAGCTGACTTAAAGTCTTGGTTAAGTCCGATGCCTGGGCTTCCTCAGGGACAGTTTTTATTGACTGCTTTTTTCCTGTATACGGGCCAGACTTTCATGTTACTTGACATACTCTATAATTTTTTGTTGTTAAAGGGACATTTTAGGTGCGCATGGGTGGTTCAGTCAGTTAGGCATCTGGCTCTTGATTTCAGCTCAGGGCCATGAGATCGAGCCCTGCAGTGGGCTCCATGCCAAGTGCGGAGCCTACTTGAGAATCTCTCTCTCCCTCTCTCTCTGCCCCTCCCCTACACCCCCACCTTCCGCTCTCTTGCACGTGCTCTCTCTCAAAAAAAAAAGAAAGAAAGAAGGGAGATTTTATAATGTGTCAACTCTGGTAGTCAGGTCTCTGCTCATACCCTGCCCGGGGTTTGGTGGTGTTGCTCTTTGTTTAGTGATTTTTCTAGGTTAATTTTCAAAAGTTTATTTTCTTTGTAGTGTGAGGCCACTTAAGTCCCTGTTCAGTTAGCTTGGAGATCAGATCACTTAATGATTGGACAGAGATTTCTTCAAACGTCCGAACCAGTAAGTAGGAGCTGCCTAGTGGCATCATTTTGTTTATGATGATCTGATGTTTTAATGGCTGCCATGCTAAGTATTTTTGCAGAATCTCGCCACGTTTCTTGCTAATAGAGGTTCGGGATTGGGTGGTGGACAAGACAGTTGGAAGAAGATGAGATAGGCAGCTAACTCAACTGCAAGCTTGTTTTCATGGGCCTGTGAGCACCAGGAATCTTCATAGTGGGGACAGAATATATTGGATTTCCCAGTAGTACTAGACCATTACACCGTTCCTTGGCACCCACTCTGGGACATGTTGCTAGAGTTTTCTTTGGAAAAGCTTGACCCAAATTGTAAATATTTTCAAACCTTTAGCAATACACAACCAGCATTAGAAAAAACAAGTTAAGATTGGAGAGAAGGAAATTTTAAAAGAAATGAACCAGCCATAATTTTGAGGGAAAAAAAGTGAATACCTAGGATTAGTTCACCAGCATGCTTTCTGAGTGTGTGTATACTTAATGGGCATTACATTCCCTTCACACATTTCCCTTTTCATTTCACAGGTTTTTTTTAAAAGCCTCATGGGACAGCACTGTTGCTGAATGCCTGGTACATATAAGAAACTTGACTGCATGAAAGGCACTCTCCAAACACAGTATGTTACCTGAAATCCGAGAACTAAATGAGCCAGACTTTCTTTAAGTCTAAATGGTTTTAAAAAAAAAATCTAAGTACTTTTCATAACATTATTCTACACTAATAATGTCCAATTATTTATTTGTATTTGCATTATTAATATTCACAATTTATTTCCTAACTAAATATTTAAAAGTTCTAGTGCTAATCCTGGTATTAAAAACCAGTTTCAAATCTCTATAAATCTGGTATGGAGATGATCAATGGCATTTGGCTTTCTTTGTTAGAACAGTAACACTTAGGGGTGCCTGGCTAACTCAGTAGAGCATAGGACTCTTGATCTCAGGGTTGTAAGTTCGAGCCCCAAGTTGGATATAGAGATTAAAATAAAGTCTTAAAAAAAAAAAAAACAGTAGCACTTATAGAACCAATTGCCAAGTTATAAAGTTGATTTTTGACAACAAAATATATTTTGTAATATTTGTAAACATAATAAAAATGGGTCGAGTTCCTCATTTGAATGTAGACAACAGGTGTGTCATACATTATAGTTTGTATACAACTGTTGTTTCTCACAAGCATTAATTATTATAACCTGTAAAAGCAATGTAGGAAATGCAAGGCTATGTCTGTATTTTGGACTGTGTATGTCTTCTCTTCCTGGGGTAACTGGTATGGAACTGAACTAAGAGAAATTCAAAACAGACCCAAATCTAGCCTGGTTTCAGCTGGGTCTTCCTGGTTTAGTTTGAAAATTCACTTGACTTGCTTTTCCTTCAGAAATTCTTAGAAGTCATAGCTATTTTTAAATTTCTCCTTAAGAGCACCTCCAGTCCTAAGTTGGTGAAGTGCAGAATGAAGCTGCTCGCTTCAAATATTTGGGGCTGCTGATGCCAACTGATGGACATTAATGGATGCATCAGGAGGAACCCAGATTAGTAATGATTTCAAGGCAAACAGTGCTCCTTAGAACTAGCACAGGAGGAAAAACTTATCTCACCAACTGTGGAGAGTTAAATAATTGTAGCCTAGGTCTTCAACTGTGATTTGTACCTCAATTTTCCTGAGAGATAACTTCCTAAGAGGTACAATGTAGGATATTTTAGCACATCCTTGTATTCTTTTTTTCTTTGTTTTTTTAGATACTATTTTTAAGCAATCTCCATACTCAACGTAGGGCTAAAACTCACAACCCCAAGATCAGGGGTCATATGCTCCACCGACTGAGCGAGCCAGGAGCCCCCCCTTGTATTATTTTTTTAAGAATCTGGTATTAATATTACAGACTGTGGGTTTCCTCTAACACTACCCTTTTCTGCTGATTGACCAATTTTGTTCTGTTTTGAACATCTGACCTCATAACAAAGAGGGTGGTTTTTAAACCTGAGATGTCGTAAAAAGACTGTATTTATATACATTCCTTCTATTTTTCTTTTAGTGTTGTTCTCCATTTCAAGATGCCTTTGCAGTTTCGATAAATGCGAACTGACAACTCTCAGGGCCACGACAGTAGAGAAATCATGACTGCTTAAAGCCTGGAAGACTGCCCTTAATTAAGGAAAATCCCTGATTGTTGTTTGAAATGCTGAGAAAGTTGCTGCGAAGGAGACTTTTCTCTTATCCCACTAAATACTTCTTCCTGCTTCTTGTTTTTTCCCTAGTCACCTTCTCTGTTTTAAGAATTCATCAAAAGCCCGAATTTATAAGTGTTGGACATTTGGAGCTGGTTGGAGAGAATCCTAGTAGTAATATTAATTGTACCAAAGTTTTACAGGGGGATGTAGATGAAATCCAAAAGGTACAGCTCGAAATTCTAACGGTGAAATTTAGGCAGCGCCCTCGGTGGACAACCAATGACTATATAAACATGACCAGAGATTGTAATTCTTTCATCAAGAGGCGTAGATATATCATGCAACCCCTTAGTAAAGAAGAGGAAGAATTTCCCATAGCATATTCTATAGTGGTTCATCACAAAATCGAAATGCTTGACAGGCTCCTGAGAGCCATTTATATGCCTCAGAATTTCTACTGCATTCACGTGGACAGAAAGTCAGAGGATTCCTTTTTGGCCGCGGTGATCGGCATCGCATCCTGCTTCAGTAATGTCTTTGTGGCCAGTCAGCTGGAGAGTGTGGTGTATGCCTCGTGGAGTCGGGTTCAGGCCGACCTCAACTGCATGCAAGACCTCTACAGGATGAGTGCAGACTGGAAGTACTTGATAAATCTTTGCGGTATGGATTTTCCCATTAAAACCAACTTGGAAATTGTCCGGAAGCTCAAGTCGCTAATGGGTGAAAACAACCTAGAAACTGAGAGAATGCCATCCAATAAAAAAGAAAGGTGGAAAAAGCATTATACAGTTGTTAATGGGAAGCTGACGAACACAGGGACTGACAAAATGCACCCTCCTCTCGAAACACCCCTGTTTTCAGGCAGTGCCTATTTTGTGGTCAGTAGGATGTATGTGGGGTATGTGCTAGAGAATGAAAAAATCCAAAAGTTTATGGAGTGGGCTAAAGATACATACAGCCCAGATGAGTATCTCTGGGCCACTATTCAGAGGATCCCTGATGTCCCGGGCTCATTGTCCTTAAGCCAGAAGTATGACATGTCTGACATGCATGCAATTGCAAGGTTTGTCAAATGGCAGTACTTCGAGGGGGATGTTTCCAAGGGTGCCCCCTACCCACCCTGCAGTGGGGTCCATGTGCGTTCTGTGTGCGTGTTCGGAGCAGGGGACTTGAACTGGATGCTCCGCAAGCACCACTTGTTTGCCAACAAGTTTGACACGGACATTGACCTCTTTGCCATCCAGTGTTTGGATGAGCATCTGAGGCATAAAGCCCTGGAGACATTAAAACATTGATGGTTCATTTTAGGCAACTAGAAATGAGAAGACATGTGCATGAGTTGCACCCTACCTGATTCTTCTGCCTGGTGATAAACAGAGAAACTATAGGGGGCGCTTTTTGAAACTATAGGGACCTTGAAGCTGTGTGATTTCTGCCCTGCACCATGGGTTAGAAAGGTTATAGCATTAAATGTTGACCTAGCGTTAGCATGGGGTCAGGGTAGGTTGGGAGGCACTGTGGGGGGCATTGGCCCACATAGCTGGGGATGTGGCTGAATGCAAAAACCAGCCTGTTAAAAGAACTCAGGGACTTAACAAAATGACCAAGATTTCATCTGTGCCAAAATTACTTTGAGAGCTTTAATTATGACAATTTTCTTGATTTGAATAAATTTATAGCAGCAACCAATTGTAAGGATATAATTTATCTTGCAGGTTTTATGTGGTGAAATAGAAATTTGACTTTAAATGGTCCTTGTAAATAATTTGCTTTCTGCTGTAACATTGTGCTGTGTAGCATGTCGGTATGTGTCATCTCAGGGAACTTGAAAAAATGGGCTTGACTGAACGTGAATATTTCTAATTTTTGCTTCTAACAATGTATATACGTTTTTAAAAACAAAAGTGGCAATGTGTCTAGCTTCGTCGATTCTATGAATCAGCTTATTAGAAAAGATACCTTAAGTTATTTAAAAAGTTAAGAGATCTTTGTTTATTAGTATAGTGTCTACAGAGAAACTCAATTTTCCAAATACTTGTCTCAACTCATCCCTGCCCCCATCTCCTCAGACCGTGCTATCAAGCTATAGAAAAACTTGTTTTCATAGTGCCTCAGTTCTCTTAACGTGATCCAATAGTGTGTATGGGGAGTGGGGATCTAAGACAGAAAGGGTGGAGTAGGTATGGGGAGTAGAAGAGGTGGCCGTGTTTGGGCAGTTTCTGAGGCCTATGATGAATGTTCTAGCAGTCATTCACCTTACTATAGCCAGATAGTAAGGCTGTTGCTCTTGGGATCCACTTAGGTCCAGCTTCCCAGGGACTTGCATCTTGATGTCACCTGTGTCTCCACTTCAAAGGACTGGCTGGCTTCTGCTGTCCTTGCTTCTTCATGTTACCTGCCCCTTAGTTATTCCTTAGCCCTTGGATTGTAAATTTCCTTCTTCCTCAGAACCCATAGGCTGTTCTTCCACATGCGTACTCGAAGGCCTGGTAATCCTGAGGGAATATCAGGTTTGGGGCAGGTTGTTTCAGTGTTGATATTCACAGCCTATGATGTCTGCTCTACTTTTCCACCAAAAGACAAATGATTCAAGGTAACCATTGTGCTATCTCATATGTCAAAGTAAATGAAGATTAGAAAGAAAACGTTCTTTTGCTAAGCTGATACTGTTCAGCCAGAGATCTAACAGGAAATGGGACGCCTTATCATTAAGCTGAGGCTCTAAACAATCAAAACTATGTACTTTATTATAAAGCATAGCAAATTTCAGTGATACAGAAGAAATTCATAATACAAGCAGTTTTCAGGCATTCAAGTGAGAAAATATTTTTTATTCCTTAAAGTTAGAGAACATTTTCATTTTATGGAGAGAGCTTTGTTCTACCGACCCTCCTGAATGAAATTTTCACATTTTTAAAAGCTTTGTCATCATGTGTAAATGTGCAAGTCAGTAGATTGCTGTTTTGCATAATTAGACAAGACAGCCAATGTTGGACCAAGAAAACATACTCTGAAAACTCAAAGATGATGTCCATGAGGGCATAAGATGATAGTGCTGTTTCTCTTGCCTTCTAAATCGGTTTGTTCTTTTAATGCATGTCAAATGTTTCTCCCATGCTCTTAGCAGAAAGATTTACCTATAGATGGGTCCTTTTTTTTTCTCTAAAATTAGTGGTATTCATTGACAAATACTTTGTCTTATATTTTTACTTCATTCATGGTGTCTTGTTTTATGTGCATTTTCATTTCTTATTTTGAAAATTTACAAATTTACAGGGAAGTTAAAAATAATAGTACAGTGAACACCATACAACCCTCAGCTGGAATTGCTGGTTGTTAACATCGTGTCCCACTTGCTTTAAATTATATGGATTTTGGAATTTAGCAAAAATTGAAGGTTAAATCTATCTTTTTAATTTACAAATAGCCAAGGTTATTTACCTCAACACTACTTTGTAGTGTGACTGCAAGTGATTTACATTTAAAACTGATAGGTTTTGAGAGATTTTTCTCTACCGTAGATATAAAAATAAGACTTTAGAGTGTCATCTGCCCAAGTCCCACACTAAAACTATGGACCTACTGTCTTCTATATAGCTGTGGTACCTCTATATTCTAGAATGGCACTTGGTGAGATATGTCTATACATTACCCTATTGCTAATGCCTGTTATAGGAATTATATAAACTTTGTTTATTGTGACTTCCTTTTATACATTTTAGCATAACTTAAAGCAAATACAATTCATACTATGGGACATGGGTGACTGGCTGGCTCTTGATCTCAGGGCTGTAAGTTTGAGCCCCATGTGGGGTGTGGAGATTACTTAACAATGAAATCTTAAAAAATAAAATTCATACAACTGAGACAAGCAATTCGAAAAATCAAAAAGATGGTTTCAAAAGGAAGCAAAAATGCAAGTTGAGAAAGATATAAATTGTTCCCTATATGTCAGTTATTAAACACTGCTTTTACCGTCACTTAGGGTCTTATGTAGGGAATTATTAGGAATCGTTCACAAAACATAAAATGCAATTTTGAGATGGAAGGTTTATTCTAGTTAATGAAGTAATGCATCAATAATAAGTAATGTTTTACTTGTTAAGTGCAACACTTAAAAAAAACAGTTCTTTTTTAGGCGGTTACCTAGGCTCTTCCACACCATAGTAAACAACTGTTAAACTTTGCAAATGTGAATCGTTAGGCAGGAAAAAGTTTACTCTACCCGTTAAGGTTCTTCTAGCTGGTCTAAGAATCAAATTGACATGAGACTGAGTAAGGAGAAATTAACAAGAGAAAATCAAACAGGGATGCCTGGCTGGCTCAGTAGAGCATGTGACTCTTGATCTTGGGGTCATGAGTTCGAGCCCCACATTGGACAAGGAGCCTACTTAAAAAAAAAGAAAATCAAATAAATAACATGTATACCTTCTGTGTACATGGGAGAAACCCAGGAAAGCAGTAATTCCCTGGCTGAAGCCATTACCTTAAACATCATCTCCAGTTAAAGACAAAAGGTGTTGGGGTGGGGAGTCTGTTATGGGAGGTTACCAGAAAAAGCACAATAAACCAGGGTAAGGTTACTCTACAGATTTACGTCCATGCCGTTTCCATTGATAACAGTTTCTAGAGATTTAGAGTCTTCTCCCTCTTTTTGGTACTGAAGGAGACACCCTTATATCTGGAGATTTCTCTTGTATATGTAAATGTCTCTTAAAAGGGTAAATTCTACTCAGTTTTCAGAGTTTTTCTTGAGTCTGCAGTCTCTTAAAAATAATCAGCTTAGGGGTGCCTGGGTGGCTCAGTCAGGTAAGCATCCTACTCTTGATTTCGGCTCAGGTCGTGCTCTCAGGGTCGTGAGATCGAGGCCCACATCGGGCTGGGTCTGTGCACTAGGCAGGGAGTCTGCTTGAGATTCTTGTCTCTCCCTCTGCCCCACCACTCACTCATGCTCCCTCCCCGCCTCCCAAAATAAATAAATAAATCTTTAGGGAAAAAAAATAACCAGCTTGAAATAATATGCCAAAGAGGCAAATTTGGGGGCAGCAAAATTTACTCCCTCTCCAGAAGCATTATTGTCTCCAAACATGGATTTTTGTCATTCATCAAATACAATTCACTCAAATAACATAAGTAGATGTTCTCTTGTAGTTATTTAGGGGAGGAGGAAGCCATGTTCCATGTTTTAATTTATTTCATCCGTAGGGTCAATTAAACTGGATTTTTGTAGTTTGCTTAGAAAAATAACTTATTTCTCATTATGTCAAATATAAAACAAATGCAACACTGTTTCATGGCAAATGTGGCTACCATAGGTTTTACTCTTGATTGTGGGCAGGACTGAATGCATTTGTAACTAGTCATATCACCATTAAAATCAGCCATTCGGAAATCAATGCCTTGTCTCCATAAATTTCTTTTTTCCTTAGCTACCAGCACTTAAATTTAGTAGCTGGTGTGGTACTTTGTAACCAAGAAGTGTTGTTGATTAAAAACATTAATTCTCCAGGCAGAGATGTCTTGAGAGGAAGAGGGTGTGGCAATGGTAGAAAATTTAACACAGATTATGCAAAAAGATTCAGACCAGGCCTTTAGAAGAATGCAGTATCTGTTGATGGGGGAAGGGCACTTTCCCAGTCAGTCCCATCTCAATGGCCACAAATACTAACAAGATCTGTTACTTGCTGTGGTCTGTGGAGGGTGCAGTGGAGGGAAAAGAACCACCCCCATCCTGACCCCCCCCCAAAAATATTAAGTACCAGCTCCAAATGTCCTCTCACCTGATCTGTTAAATCCTTCTGGTGCTCTTTGGCTTCAATTTAGATGAAACACACTCCAGAAAGTGACAAAGTTGATTAACCTTGGATCTTTCTCTAACACTTGAGACTTTTAATATATATCCTCCATAAGCTTACTTGTCAAAGATTTAATTTTTAATATGTGCTTTCTTAAAGTTTTCAGGGCTTGTCATCAGAATATTGATTTAATATTTTTTGATGCAATAAGATTGAAACTAGAAATGACTTATAGCTGTTGGGAAAGAAAAGACTTTTCATTACTGCAGATTGTATGTTTGTCCAAATAGAAAGCCCAAAAAATCTTGTCTTAGGATTTTTAATTAACCAATAGATCCAGATATTCAAAGTTAATAGGGTTTCCATATTCAAGCAAAAAAATAAGTTTTACAATATAATGGGATTATGTGAGCATTTATCATGGCAACAAGCTCAGGAAATGTTCAAAGGTAAGGTGTGTGGGACTGTGGAGGAAAACTACATTGCGCTCTGAGACAACAATTATTTTAAACATGGCCCTTCCCAAATCAGTCTATATGTTAAATGGAAGTCCAACCATATTCTCAAACGTTAGTAAAATTGTTCTAAATTTCATCTGAAAGAAAA